CGGCTCCGAAGTGCTCCCAAAGATGAAAAACCGCCCTAAACGCAGCCCCTGCCACGCACTTGGAACTTTTTGAGGCGCTTCTGTAACGACGGACGTGACGGCGGTTCCAGGCTCTCCCCGTCCTCGACGTGACAAGGATCCGACGAGCCTTTTGAGGACACGAGGAGTGGGAGGTTTTCCTTGGACTCTCTCGGAGCTGCCTCCCAACGCAGAGCTAAGGACTGTGAGGAGAACGTTTTGAAAAATTCATTCTTTGTTGCAGTTGAACATTTCAGGGTTTTAAGCACATTTGAAAATAGAAAGGATTTTGGTTTGTCAGTTTAACTTGGATTTTTTTTTGTTTTGTTTTGTTTTTTTTTTAAACAGAGCTTAGATTTCTAACAAGGGAAAATTGCTGGTGGTCCCCGAAAGTGCTGCTGTTAATTGTTTTAATTAACAAAGGGAAAAATGTATATAAGCAGAATATTAAAATTACCATTAATTCCATGAATTTAAATCTTGTCATTCATTGCCTTAAAACTTTCTCTTCGTTTCCGTACGGCATGCCAAACCAGTCGATGGCTTTTAAAAATGTATAGTAGACCAATGTCAGTTTGTATAAAAGTACCAAGTGAAAATATTTATTATATGCATTGGAAAAAAAAAAATGGTTTACCTATTGAATGTTACCTGTTTATGTAGAAATCTTTAGATGTAATAAAAAGCATTCAGTTACGTTGTGTTTCCTGGGGGAGGGGGAAGAGAAAGGAGGGGGGAGGAGGGTGTTTTCTTTGAACGCAGAGTTGCAAAGGTCCCTTTTGAACGGCAACACTTTGCTTCTAGAGGTTTTGTGGCACGGAGAATCTCCCACTTGGCTCTCCGAGCTCTGACAATGCTGCTTTGTTTCACGAGTGTGTGTGAAGTGCTGCTCCTTTTTTTATTTTTTTATTTTTTGCTCGCTTTGATTTGGACAATATTTACCCACCCGGAGAGAGGCTGGTAACCTCCTGTTATGATACAGATGCATTCTGGAGTAATCCAAAGTGATTTTGATCAATCCCCATGACATCCAAGCTTTTATATTGTCTGCAGCTGAAAGGATTTGTTAATCAACTGTTCTGGTCAATAGGGAAGAATGAAGCTTGTGTATTGGATCGCTTGTAATTGGGCTATTGATGCATATTGGAAACAAATGCTTCTCAAATGAACTCCTTGTTTCATAAGCTAATTAGGTTCCCGCTCAAAGCCCACGAGATTTTTGCTCGCCTTCGTCCGCTGGGACCTCTGTAGCAAAGGTCTGAACGGCTCCGGGGCGGGGCAGAAACCGAATTCCGCGCTGTGGGCAGACCTCCAGAAGGCACTGGTGCAGGAGGGCTCAGCGTCAAGGTAGGTGGGTTTTTTGTCCAAACGTTGAGATTAACTCTGAATGGAGGGGGGAGAGAGTTACGAGGGAAATCTCTCTCCTCGCTGTTAGCTGGGACCTGTCCTTGTTTTTTTCTAGTGCGTCTCACCTGTTTTTCTGGAGTGGTGTCTGGATGCTGCTTGTAACTCCCCGATTTTCGGAGAAGCAAGGTTTTTCCGTTTTATCTTTGTGGAGTAGGAAGGCCTAATAGAAGAGCGGAGGGATGTGGTGGACAGACATGACGAGGGATGTCAGTTTTACATTAGGCAAAGTTTATTTCCCCTGGAAGCATGACTGTTGGCTGTTTCGGTCGGTGTCTTAGCACGTCAGCTCCCAGTCCGAGTTTACTGGTTGAGTTTGGGACTAGTCTTGTGAGAACTGCAGGCTCTGCAGCTTGGCTCTGCAGCAGGGCAGGCTGGGAACAAAGCTGCCATTTGTCTTAAACTTGCTCATACTTCAGGGTTTTGGGCTTGGGGTTTTTTTGTGGTTTTTTTTTTTTCTCAGTTTCTGACTGGGTTTGATTCCGTGTCGCAGTGGTGCGGGATGGTCTTGGGCTGTGCCGGGCACCTCAGCAGGGGGCGCGTGCGTCGTATCTGCAGTGGCTTTCACAATTTAATTGTTGATTATTTCACAGAGAGGTGGTTTCTTCAGTGAAGAAGATGCAGAATTAGGAAAAGGAAGGAGGGGCGTGGGTGGAAGGGGTTTCCTGTGGGTGGGAGCCGCAGCACACCTGCGTGTGCTGCTGCTGGGCTGGGACTGTGCAGCGCCAGTCTCTGCAAATTTCCAGTTGACTCCAGAGAGAACGGTTCTGCTGTTTGTTACCCCAAATTTCACACCCCGGTCTTGAGGACCTGAACTAAAGCTGCTGAGATGCAGGTGGAATAAGATCACTAATGGCTGCTGTGGGTCAGAGACGGGGGCGGGTGTTTTTCTGCTGCAGAGAAGCTGACTTTTCATGGCCCCTGTTTTTCCCTGCCAGGCTGGCTGTAGGAGCATGTTCTGGGCAGCCAGCCCAGAACTCAGTGACAGATAAATTTACCAAGCGCAGCGTTTTCTGTGCGTCACCTCAAAACGCAGGGGCAGCCGAACCGCCCAGAGACTTGGCCTTGCGAGATGCTGCACCTTAATAAATGGTGTGACAGAAGGACGACGACACGGAGAGCTCGTGTGTCCGGGGAGCGAGAGATGGGGCGAAACGAGACAGCGGTCACAGACCCTGTGGGGCTGTTAACCTGGCAACTTCGTGACAGGGGTATGTCTGGTGGGGATCATCCTGTGGATCTAAGGAATCCCGGGGAGCTGTGCCTGGGTATGTTGAATTTACGGCCATGGTGACATAATCACGCTTCTGGGGAATCGGTTTCAATGCAAAGAACCGTGTCTGGGCGTGGGTGTGTGGAAGGAGTGAATGGGTTTGGGTGGAGGGACACTTTCACTATAAGCCCTTAACGGCAAGTCGCCATTTATGCCACACTCAGTAGACTCAAGTGCATTTTTAAAATAAGAGTTGGGTTTTTTTCCTAGCCATGACACATGTTGCACAAAGGAATGTTGCATTCGGTTTATTTAAATAAGCTCACATTTTGTGACAACATTTCTCCAGAAACGGCGTGGGAACCTGTGTTAAATGTTAAGCACTATCATGAAGGCAAAGCGAGGATTTTTTTTGAAGGCAAGTGATGACTCCTGAGTCCAAGTAGTAGCTGGGTAAAGTTGAAGTCAGAAGTTTCAGGTACTGCTCTTACCAAATCTCATGGTTTCAATTTTAGTAGTCGATAGTAGGAAGGCAAATAACGTGAACAAATTCTTCGTATTTGATTGTTCCATTTGGCCCAACTTTGGCTTCTTTTAGCAGATCGTCAACTGAAAGAAACAATAAAAAAACACCAACGAAAAGCCCATAAGTTTGAGTGTCACTGTGTAAGGGATGTTGTGATCTTCAAAAGAAGAGCGATGCAGGTTTTCAAGTAGTTTTTGTTGGAAGTATTAAATTCTGGGATCAGTTGGCAATGCCATCCAGATCATAGTTTTAAACTAGCATCCGTTAGCACTTTGGTTTTGATTTCCACGTCTGACTTTGTGGAGCAGACACGCCCATCTCTTTGGAGTTCCATGTGAAAAAGATTCACAGATCTCGTTGAAATGGGCTTTTAATTGCTCTTGCTCGCAGTGGCTTATTTGACTTGACTGGCAAGCCCGTCCCTAGTCAATTTAGACAAAACTAAGTGCTCGTGCAGATTATGTGCCCAACACTAAGTAGATTTGCGTGACGCTCGTTAATACGAGCTGACGTGGAGCGTTTGAAAGCGAAGAATACCTCCTCAGCTGGGGCTCTAAGGCTCTGACGGGAAATAATCCTCAAGAAGCGGCCGCCGTGCGGTTGGTGCCTGCCAGGAACGATGCTTTTGGGGACACCTTGGCACTGACTGCAGTAATCGAACTTCAAACGCTCTCTCCTGTACAGGTGAAACCATTCGAAGGTCTTTTTCCTGTCAAATATTGTCAATGAAGTAGGAGCACGTAAAAAATAGCGCGTGGGGAAGCAGTGTTAAACATCGCTGGGAATTAGGCGCCGTCTTCGTTTGGGTGACAGGAGAGGAGGTGAACTCCCTCCCTTGTTTACTTCACCCGTATCTTAAAATATCAGGGAACCCAGCGGCTTTTATTTGATAATGCTTTGGGCAGCAGTTCCCTTTGATAACTTATCTGCTAGACTCCAGAAGAGGCTGCTGCTCGTGCGCTCGCTGTTAAAAGTAATGCAGGAGAAAAAGGTGTCGGTCCTCATTTGGTAAAAGCACGTTAAATTTCTGGAGCCATGGTAAAGGAAGGCGCGTGCCGGTAGTTACCGAACGATCGCAGATGCGAATGAAATGGAATCTGTTCTGGTATCAAATATTTATAGCAGCTCAGCAAGCTGGCGTTTGGCGTGTCAAGCGAAAGGGGGAATTTCTCACTGAGAAGCAGCGTGGCTTCCTGCGTGAGGGTGCCCTGCCAGGGAGGTGGTGGAGTCACAGACCCTCGAGGGGTTTAAGGAGAGGCTGGATGTGGCACTTGGTGCCGGGGCCCAGCCAGTGTGGTGGTGTTGGGTCACAGGCTGGGCTTGATGATCTCAAAGGGCTTTTCCAGCCTCAGCGATTCTGTGATCAGGAGTGCCTCGGTGCACATCGTCAGGAGGTGCGCAGCCTGGGCTCCCAAGTAACGGGAAATCCCCCTGCGCCTCCCAAATCTTTGTGTGATGGCGGTTCTTGCTAGGATGCCTTTAATTAGAGTTAACGTCTCCACGTCTTTGCTCATTGTTCAATAGCTCTGAAAGTGTTTCCAGATGTAAACAGCTGCGTGAAGTGGTTTTTTTCAGTTAGGCAATGGAAGAAACCGCTTGGAAGAAAAGCCCTGTCAGTGTGTCACTCGTGAAGCTGGTGACGGTGACTGACCAACCCTGCTCTGATGAAATCTAGATTTTCCTTTAACATTAGAAAGAACAGCTCTTACACCTTCAGGGAGCCCAGTGGAGCCTGTACAAACCCCATAACCCTGCTGAAACTTGTTCCTTGCCTGTACCAAACTGCCGATGGGTTTTTCGAATGCTGTCTTCAGCAGAGAGGGAGCAATTTGAAAACTCCCGAGCCCGCTCCCTGCAGCAGGGTCAGAGGGGCAAGAGCTGAAGAAGCCGAAGGTGACGTGGTTTGGAGCAAGGAAAGGGACAGGACACCCTGTCCCCGGGGCAGAGGGGTGTGCGGAGTGCTGCCCTGCCTTCCCGCAGACCCGGCCCCGCTCCTGCAGCCTGTGGAAGCTGGAAAAGTAGGGCAGGAACTTACAAAGTTTATGTACATACACCAAGTGCCCAGGGCCACGTCGGCTCTCTGAAGGGTTTTGATCACATTCAGCTTCCTGGAAATTCCCTCCTGTTGCGCCCCTTGGAAGCAAATTTCTGATGAACAGGACAGGTTTGTTTTGTTTTGGTTTTTTTGGGTTTTTTTGCTTGTGTGTTTGTTTTTTTTTTCAAAAGAATCTTGATTTTAGAAGTCCCTTTCTCTTCTGAGTTGTGCCGGCCACAGAGCTCACCGCAGCAGCGCTCCTGGGAAGCTGCCAGCACCCGGTGTGGCTCCTTCCAGCATCCCCACAGCTCTCCCGGGGCCCTCGGCAGGACCGACGCTCGCTTTTATAAGTGCAGCGAAGCATCTCGGGGTGAAAAAAGAATAAATCACCCTTTAGGAAACGACTTGAGAAAGGGAGAAGGCCCCTTTCTCAAATCCCATCTCTCCCGCCGAGGGTCACCAGCGCTGTGTCTTGCCAGCACAGTCCTTCTGGCTGAAAATGCCTGATCCCAGATTTGACTACAGAGGAAAATGAGGAAGGAAATAAGAAGGTGGAGGGAGTATGTGATGCAGCTTTGAATGGCAAAATACCTTCTTCCTCGGAAAGCTTTTCTCCCAGTCTTGTAAGTTTGGCTCTCAGCTCCGAAACGGTGACAACGCCTCTCTTCTGCCTGTCTATCATGGACAAGGCCGTGAGGATTTCCCTTTCGGGCTCCTCCTGCTTCATCTGCCTGTACATTATATTCAGGAAAGTGGAGAAATCCAACTCTGCGTTTCTGTCTGGGGAAAACAAGAGCAGATTCTTTAGGAACAGCTCAGTTTTGTAGTCTGGATCCAGCCCTAAGCATCCCCCTCTTCCCCTTCCTGAGGCACCTTTTCTCTTTTGCCTGACTCTGGTCTGGAGCAGGGTGAATCGCTGCTGGGGGGCTTTCTCCTGGCCCCAAACCCCATTTGTAGCTTTGCTAGATTTGTGCTCTTGTTGCGATTTTCAAAGGGAAGGTCGCAAAAATGACAGAACTTATCTACATGTAGATAAGCCGGCACTTCTTTATTGCAGCGCTGGGAAGCCTGGAAATCACCCAATGCTTCGAATACAGAACAAAAATTTAGCCTATTTATACACTTTTTGTGCAAAGTCAGGATCCTTAACATACTTTAACATATTTTAACATAAACATTCATACTATGCCCGCTATTCATTTTGACATTTACAATGATTGGTTTAGCCCTTATTAATATTCTTATATCGATACGATTATTGGTTATTCTGTTGATTATAACTCCTGATATACAAATTAAGGTGAGAGATGCGATGTTTCTATGTTACTATCACAAAACATAAGATAAAAGGGTAGGGAGGTAAGTTCGGAACATTCCAGGCAGGTAGGGAAGCAGGCACAGAACATCTCCAGGGAGGAAGGGAAACAAGCATAAAACATTCCCTGTGAGTTTCGCAACTTGTATCAGCTCTCCTTCTAGCCAAGGCCTACACACTATTTCTTAGCATAAGTAAGATTTTTAAGGTTTTATATTCCTTATGCTAATATAAGTCAATTAACTATTTTAATTAAAATGGTGATTGATTAAAACTTAAATTTGATTACAACACTCTCAAACCTTGCATCCAGAATTTTTAATCCAGCCCACCTGATTTTACGCTTCTTCTTTGGTCTTTGTGCTGTGCTCTGAATTTATTCCTGCGTATCTGCAGACAAATATCTTTCTGTGCTCTTCTACCTCCGCTGCTTGGACTGGACAGTTTCCCAAACCTCTAACCAACACGTGTGTGTCCTGCTGCTCTTGCATCTTTTTGGTTTTTAATGGCACTGTTTTAATCTGGGCACTGGATTGACCGCAACAGCCCCCCGGCAG